TGGAAAAGGGTTCTTTAGTTTGTATTCCGTAAATTAAATTCAAACTATTGCAGAAGATGAGATCGAGGCAGTTGTTTAGTCTAGTGTTGTTGGTTACTAGTTGTTCCAGTCCCAGATTTGTAATAGCATTGTAGAAGGTTGTGTGTATGATTTCAGTTGTACAATCATTTAGGGTCCAGTCAATATGAGGTAGATTGAAATCACCAAGAAAGATAAAAGGGTATGGGCAGGATGCAGCCCATGTTAGTAATGTATTTAGCTTGTTTACATGTTCGATGTCATAATCAGGTGCTCTGTAACATAGTAAGAATCGAATTGTGATATTTAAGGATAGTTCACAGATGATGGTCTCAGGAAGAGCAAGCTCCTGGGCAACTTGGATATTTTTTAGATGTAAGGATTTTTTATAGAATATAGCAACACCACCTCCTCGACGATTTTCACGATCTGATCAGTAAACATGATAGTCTCTTACTGTGGTAATGGAGTCGGGGAGAGATGCATTGAGCCATGTTTCACAGACAAATATAATGTCGAAGTTAGCCATATTTAGGAGGATGAGAAATTCAGGTATTTTATTCACGAGGCTTCTTGCATTGAGTAGTTTGCATTTAAGGCCGGCAGTAGTTGGAATAGTTGGAGTAGTTGGGGGCGTGAATTGAATTTAAAAGACATTTCAGAGCAAATATATTAATGGGAAGAATTAGTATGGAGATGAGATGAAGAGGAATGTATTTAGCCTCTTGGTTGTAGATAAACTTCTATGCGCAGTTGAGCTGTGTACCTTTGATTTAGTCTTGGTTCCAATCTTGATTCCAGCCATGTTCTTGCAGTTTCTTTGGCAAAGTGGTTTGCTATTGCCTTCTTCCAAGGCTGAGGGAGACTGACCAGCTGGCTTTGTGACTAAAACAGAACTAGAATTCAGTCTCCTGAAGTCTAGCCTGGTGTCTTTAAACAGTGCCCTGGCTATCTATATATACAGTTACACTGCTAAAAAAGCCATTAGGGAAGTACTTATTAAATGTAATTAACTTTTCTTTTTTTCTAGATGGAGAAAGATATGGAAGAAAAATGCAATGAGATGCAAGAGGAACATGATAATAAAATGAGGTCTGGCTCTCCTTGTTTGGAAGTCTTGAAGTAACTTTTCTTTTTCCATAGTTATAGGATCAAAGGAGGAATAACAACACATTAAGGAAACAGCTTCCATTCCCCCCATCCTTAGAAAGAAAGCAGCATGTGACTTTTTAGCATTGTTCTGTGGAGACAAACTCAGAAGTAATAATGAACAAAATATTTTGACTACTGATTAATCTTATTTCAATCTGTGTCATTGGCCATTTTCAGTCACCTAAAAATCTTTTTAATATATAGCACAAATAGAGCATACAGAATAAATTATTGTTAAAATATTGAATTTTTGCACACTGTGATTTTTAGTCTTTAAAGTTACTTTTTGTGTGATTGAAAATGGCCAACAAAGAAAACTCAAAGTTATTCAGAATTAATTCCATACAAGTTTGGTGAAATTTTCTTACAAGTATATCTAGAAGTTTAGAGTCACATTCACCATGTTAAATAGTGCTGCTACTCTATCTGCAGTACTGAACAATTCCTTCTGAGGATTTGGTCCTGTGGAAAATCCTTCTTCTGTTACTTACTCTGTGGGGAAGCTCCCTATTGATACCACGATAGACTTTCTTCCTAAGCAAGTATAAGCACAAGGGAATAGAGTTAATCTTCCCTACCTTACTGCTGGAACACAAATACTTAGCAGCTTTCCTTTCCCATCAGTGCCTGCTACTTTACCTACACATCAGATGTAGCTTTGAGCCCTTAAAAAGTCATTTTCTTCTCATTAGTTCCAGTTTCCGACTTACTTGTCTACATTGTGATTAGAATTGTTCCTTAATAAAGTACAGTACCAATTGGTATGGGCATGGCATGCTTTCACTCAGAAAAAAATATGTGAATAAAAACAACAACAATAATAATAGTAATAATAATAGTAATAGTAATAATGATGATGATGATGATGATGTAGTATAATAGGAATAATAAAAATAATCACACTAGTTGTTCTCCATACAGATTTCAAACATACAATAAAAATAATGTATAAATATAATTGAACATTGGTTTTGAATGTCCCTTGGTACTCAACTGCTTTGGTACTGAACACTTTTTACATGAAAATTTTGTCCCTAAACTCATCATTTGTTTGGTATTCAATGCACAAACTAGAACTTCTCTGCCTTGTGATTCACTACATTATTCCTTATGGGAAAATTGTTTGATACTCATCATTTTTGGTACTCATTGTAGCTCCTGGAACCAATTAATGTTGAGCATTGAGGTACCACTGTAGTAAGAAAACGTATTATAAAATCCTATGTTCATCTCCTGTGCAAGTTACAAGCAGTCCAGAGCTTTTCAGAACAGGATGGAGTTATCCATTTTCCCAAGTTCAAGAGAGCCAACAATTTCAAGACTTTGCTTATGGAGATTTTTCATTCAGCTGAAGCTATATCCTTAGTTACTATATGCAAAGCATTAATGAAAGGAATTGCTGACTTTTTTTTTTGTTTCTTTCCTTTACATCCCACCAAACATCAGATGGGATTGGCTTTGAGAAGAGATGGATTCTGATAGATGGCCTGAAGAGTAAATATTTGCTCCTGGTGCTTTGTGTGGTTGCATTCAAAAGAAGCCTGGTCAACAGCTGACAGATGCTGTGGACTTTCCTGCTTCCTTGTGGAGTTCTCTACCAGCTCTAGTCATCTGTTAGCTGGGCTGAAAGATTGTAAGTCAAGGACTATCTACATTGAGTTGATCTCATGATTTAGGTCCTTTTGACAATACCACACAGAGAATGATACATGAAAGGCAGATCTCCCTTACTTGATCTCTTCAGCCTAAGACATGCTTTTGGATGTTTATTCTGTACTTTTAATGCTGCTTTGTTATTGTCTCTCGAAATAATGCACAGCTTTTTGTAGATTTCCCTTCCCCCATAGAGTATTTGAGTCCTTCTGATATTTTCCTAAGGAGCTCTTCCTGAAATGTAAAGGATATTTTATAAACAGATTGCATATGATTTTAGATATGATTAAAGACTGTGCAGTAAATTGGCAAAAATCAGGTGCTGTGACTTGTACAAGAGAACAGTTTCTCACCAAGACAACATTACCACTCTGTGTGTAGCTCTGCAAGTTTATTATGAAGACATACTAACTAGAGGACTTAACAGACCACAAGTGCAGAAGTGCTTCTTTTACCTTACTTTGCTGTTACATTGTCTTGGCAGGGAGATTCAAGGATTTCACATAATACAAGTGAATAACCTGGAAGAACAGTATAAGAAAGAGTTGCGGAATGAGAGGGCAACTGCACAAGAAAAATTGGGTATGATGCAGGATTATCGATTTGTCTCATGCCTACATGTGTACGGGAACTTCACAGCTCACAGAGTTGTTTCACAAAGGAAATTAGAAATAGATAAGTAGCCAGGGACAATGGGATGATTAATACACCAGTTTGTTGTAGTGGCTAAGACACAAGGCTAGACACTGGGGGACTGTGAATTCTAGCCCTGCTTTAGACATAAGGCTAGCTGGGTGATCTTAGGTTAGTTATTCTCTCTCATCCCTAGGAAGAATGCAATGGTAAACCACTTCTAAAATCTTGCCAAGAAAACTACAGGGAGTTGCCAGGAGTCAGTGTTGACTTAAAACGAACACACACACACACGTATTTCCATCAGTTGTTGCTGTTGCATTTAAAACTACACAAGGAACAAAACTGCTCTTTTTTTAAAAAAAACCCATAGCAATTTGTAAACTATTTGATTGGTGGGGGTGGGGTTGAAAAAAACTGTTCTTGTGTCTAATTGTTCTGGTGTGCAGTGCTCTATAGTGTTGTTTTGAGGGAAGGAGTAGAAATAGTTTATGTCCGGGATGTGAGGGGTCTGTAAATATTTTCACAGCCCTCTTTTTGACACGTGCAGTATATAGGTCCTCGACTGAAGGCAGGTTGGTACTGTTTTTTCTGGAGTCCTAATTATCCGTTGAAGATGGTGTCTGTCTTGTTTGGTTGCAGAGCCAAACCAGACAGTTATAGAGGTGCAGATGATAGACTCAGTAATTCCTCTGTAGAACTGTATCAGCAGTTTTGGGCAGTTGAGCTGTCTGAGTTGGCACAGAAAGAACATTCTTTGTTGTGCTTTTTTTGATGACGTTTTTGATGTTAGGTGTCCATTTTAGGTCATGTGATATAGTAGAACCTAGAAATTTGAAGGTCTCTACTGTTGATACTACGTTGTCTGGTATTGTAAGAGGTTATAGTATGGGAGGGTTTCTTCTAAAGTCTACCACCATTTCTACAGTTTTGAGTATGTTCAGTTCCCGATTGTTCCAGTTACATCACGAGGCAAGTTGTATAACCTCCTGTCTGTATGCAGATTCATCGTTGTCTCAAATGAGACCAATCACGGTTGTGTCATCAGCAAACTTCGGTATTTTAACAGATGGATCGTTTGAGATGCAGTCATTGGTATATAGGGAGAAGAGAAGTGGAGATAGCACACAGCCTTGGGGGACCCCTGTGCTGATTGTACAGGTATCAGATGTGATTCTGCCTAGCTTCATCTGCTGCTTCCTGCCTGTTAGGAAGCTTATGATCCACTTACAAGTGTGTTCAGGTACTGCTAGTTGGTTTAATTTACTTAGAAGAGTGTCTGGACTGATGTATTGAATGCTGAACTGAAGTCTACAAAGAGGACCCTTGCATAGGTATTTGGAGTTTCAAGGCATTGTAAGATGTAATGCAGAGCCATGTTAACAGCATCATCTGTTGATCTATTTACTCAGTATGCAAACTGCATGGGATCTAACAGCGGATCTGTGATGGTTTTTAGGTGGGACAGCACAAGCCTTTCAAATATTTTCATAACTACAGATGTTAGAACAACTGGTCTGGAAACGCAGGCAAAGCCACCGCAGTGGTAGTGTCCTGAGTTGCCTTAGCATGCTCGGTTAGTTAAGAATCGCCCTACCCAGAGAAGGAAGTGGTGCTGGAGGAGGAGGAAGCAGTAGTGGAGTAGCAAGCAACTCAGGGCGCTAACGCTGTGGCGGCTTTGCCTGCGTTTCCGAGGCTTCGATGTTGGGAGAGGCAGCAAGGGCTGGAAAAGGGGAGAGCTGTGCAAGGCTCCGTCTGGGTGGGGGGGGGAGGAAAGAGAGAGAGCCGGGAGCAATTCAAGGCTAGAAAACTAATGGGGAGAGCTGACAGCGGGCGCTGGGAGAGGGGACTGTTATTGCCACCGCCGCCATGTGTGGGAGTGTGCATCTCAGGGACCTGAGCCGGGAGGCACGGGAACTGCAAGTGGGAGCATTTGATGATTCCGAATAACTCCTGGAACACGGTAGATTGGCGTTTTGTAGGTCTCGGTGAAAGAGTGAGCTTTGTTTTGTCTCCTTTCCTTCCCTGGTAATGCGAGAGATACTTTCTCTCTTCCCCCCCACCCCCAAATAACCACTGGCTGTGGCTGGGTTTGGCAGCGAAGTGCTAAAGCGAGCGAAGTGCCCCCAGGGACACCTTTCCTTGCCTGACTCCAGGTGAGGCTGGAAGAGGCCCCCCCCCAGCTTTTCCTCGGCTGCAGATCTGAGCCTCTCAATCCTCCACCCAGGATCTGAAAGGAGCTCCCACATTCTCCCCCTCCCCTCCCCCAATTAATCACCAAGAGCGGCAGTCCTTCTGCAGGCAGATGCCTGCTGAGAAGCCCCTGGAGTGGCAGCCAAGGGGCGCTGCCCCCCAAGGAGAGCAAAGCCCCCTTTCTGCCTCTGCTTCTCCCAGCAGCAGTTGCCCCGCGGCCCCTCAGCTCAGACACACACACACACACACCGCCTGCTCTTCTGTCTCTTTGGAAGGTGCCAGGTGGGGGGATTTATATTTATAATTTATATTTAACATAAAAAATTATATTAAATATATTAGCTTTTTTTAAAAAAAAATCGTATTAGTGGTCCTCGGGATTTAAAAGTATGAGTTTGGTGGTCCCTGAGTTCCAAAAGGTTGGCGACCCCTGCTTTAGAAGAACTTCTCTCGGGGTGGAAAATGCCTTAAGGATTGTAAAAGCCAGAAGCCAAATTCAGTTCAAGTTAGAAATATGAAGAATTGAACAAACCTTGCTGAGAATTAGGAAAATTGCCTTCAAAGGAAAACCTTGTTAATCTCACCAGCTTGAGAAAAACAATGTTTACAGCTAGGGGGAGAGACTTATGAGGACAGAAGGATATGAGGCGGCATCATCCTCAGATGCCATTGACTCAAAATAATAGATGTGTGTAAGGAAGGTTTTTAAGAATGGGAAAGGAAGTTGGAGATCTTGGGTGGGAACTTGCTGTCCTTTCTCTCAAGCTCAAAAGAGCCTGATATTTGGCATTGGGGGAGGGGAGTTAATGGGTGAGGGAAAGTAGAGCATATGGGAGATAAAACACCTTAACAAGCTCCAGAACCTGACTCAAAAGTGCACTGCAAAACTTGATTTACTTTGATGCTGAAGTTAATTGGTGTAGTTTTGAGATGCTGGGAGGTGGCAGATAGGATATGAGATGACTGAACCCATCTTATTGGCTTATCTAGTTGGATCTCTAGGAAAACAATCACAGCTTAAGACATTACAAATCTCTAAGTCCACTCTCCATAGCTTTCTTAAACTGTACCCAATCTTCTTCTTCTTAACTACAATTAAGGGGAAAATATTTCCCTGTCAGTTACTTCCTAATACAGGGGTGTCAAATTCAAGGCCCACGGACTGGATCCGGCCTGCAGGGTGCTTAAATCCAGCCCACGGTGACGGCCTGGAAATAGAAAAGGACTGGCCCGCAGTGTCTGCTAGCAAAAATGGGATGCAGAGGAGCCATGGCCAGCCTCCGCATGGCCCATTTTCAGATTGGATGGCCTCCTGCAGGACCCTGCCAGCCAAAACGCTCCCCTCCCATGCCCTGTTTGGAATGGCAGGGTGTTGCATGAGGCCGTCCAGGCCAAAAATGGGCCATGTGGGGGCTGCCCGTGGCCCCCTCACGCCCCGTTTTGACCGGCAGGGTGATGCAGGAAGGTGTCTGTCCCATCTCCTACCCCTCCAATCGGCCCATGAAGGACAACTACAATGCTGATCTGGCCCTCAAAGAAACCCAGTTTGACACACCGGTTTTGGAACAGGCCACTCCTAGCAACAATTAGGAAATATTCTCCTAGCAAAAATATCATCAGTGACTGGGACAATTAAGCAATTCTCTTGAAGCACTTCTTGCTTCATTAATTCTCTTCTGTCTATGCTGAGAAGTGGGCCAGGGGGGGGGGAAATACTGAAAAACACATCACTATAATTAAGACAAATCAAACCCAAAAACATAAAACAAGTTTGAGTCAATAGTTTGGACTATTTCGACTTGGATGCATGGAATACATTACTTCTTCCCTTTTATCCATCCTCAGCTACAATGCAGAAGGAGTACAAATACCTGAAGAATACATTTCGTATGTACCAGGTAAATATTTAAATTGCCATCTAAGAATTGATGAAGTAGGGTGAGTTTTGCCCCATTTTACAACCTTTCTTGGCACTGTTATTAAGTGAACCACTGCAGTTGTTAAAGTTAGTAACACAATTGTGAAGTGAATCTGGCTTTCCCATTGACTTTGCTTGTCAGAAGGTCGCAAAAGGTGATCACATGACCTTGAGACACTACAACTGTCATAAATATGAATATAGCTGCCAAGCATCCAAATTCTGATCACATGACCATGGGGATGCTGCAATGGTTGTAATTGTGAAAAATGGTCATAAGTCACTTTTTCCAGTACCATTGTAACTCCAAACAGTCACTAAATGAATGTTTGTAAGCCAAGGACTACCTGTAGTTTATAATTCTTCTCTCCCAACCTGGAAAAAGACATTATGTGTCTTTGGTGAAAAGCTCTTGTGTCTTCTCAATATCCCATGGCGTTCATGATTTAAAAAGTCATATATGCAATGCTTCACAATAGGAGAAAATAAGTCAACTTTAAATCCTCTTGTGTGCTGATGAAGTTATAGTTAATCCATACAACTGAATGAGCATAAACTCATGATGACTTTTGAAATATTTTTTTAATTGGACAATATCCTGTTTGATATAAATGACCTATTTTAATGCATTGATAGGCAGAACTGTTGCCTATATATGTTTCAAGCTGATTGGTGGTTCTGTTTGCTTGCTTGTTTTGGTAGGATAGCATTTCTGATGAAATGGAAGAAAAATGGCTGAGAAGACAGGCTGAATGGAAAAAAAGTGAGAGGACTGAGCGAGAAAAGGCATTATTACAACAAAGTAGGTAAAAGGAATGTACTAGTCTTGTACTACTGTAATCAAAGCACTATTTTCTGTTTTCCTCAGCATTTTATTATCCCATAGCAAGTTTTCAGGAAAATAAGTAAGGACACTCAAATGCTGCAGATGTTTTGCCTTATTTTACAATTTTATATAGTAATATATAGTATAATTTCATCTAAAATGATCCAGGTTATAATAGTAAAGCACTTAGACTTATATACCACTTTACAGTGCTTTCCAGCCCTCTTCTAAGTGGTTTTTACAGTGTCAGCCTATAGCCCTCAAGAATCTGAGTCCTCATTTTACCAATCCCGGTCAGGGTCGAACTCCTGCCAGTCAGCAGAATTAACCTGCAATACTGCATTCCAACCACTGCACCACCATGGCTCCTATAAAATTAGTAATGATAATTATATAATTAATATAGTTAATATTATAAAAATATAATACTAACTATAAAATTATTAAGAGTATCCTGAGACCAAGCATAAAGACTTAGAACACTTTGGTTTAAGAAAACAGTTTTACCAGCTTTGGAGTTGGGAGTAGTGTGAAGGGATGGGGGAAGAGGAGTCACAACATGTAAAATGGTGAACAAAATTGAACAATGTGGGGAAAAACAGGTATATAGCACTATCCTAGACTATCCAGGCCTAAGTAAGAATAAACTTAAAATATGGTTATATATTATATTTTTACAAAAATTGCCCTAAAATAAATAAATACTATATCACTCAAATAAATATAAACACATAAAACAAATTGGTAGAAAATGAGATGTCAAAGGCAGAAGGAAGCAAATACATTAGCAATATGGAATAAACACAAAGCTACAAGAGAAAGTATTTTGCTAACAAGTTGCAGGCATCTTCCTAATGTTATATACAAAATTCTGCACACAGAATTTTGCCACATTGTATTTACGGTTGGAGTCTTATCATACAATAGAAACAGCATATGTTTGGGTGCCTTGGAAAATGTATTAGTGAGGGTATGATGTGGATGCTGCAATCATGGCTATTTCTATCAAATTACCGTGCTAAATTCATATAAGAGTTTCCAGGACTCAGGCACAATACAGTTAAATAATAGATTAAAAAAAACTTTATCCTTTCCTCAGAGCAATCTTTAACAAAGAGATATGAGATGGAATTAGAGGAGCAGAAGAAGATTATTCAGAATAACAGTTTTTTGCTCGGCAGAGTTTATGAACAAGAGAGAGAAGTAAGTGTATTTCCTATTTATCAGAAGTTGCTTTGCTTTGTAGAGAAGGCTATTGTAACTTGAATTAAAGCTTTTTCCTATAAATCTCAGCCAGTATGACTTTTGCAAATAGGCATTGCTTGGATGATGTGTGGTGTTGTTCCGGTATAAACTTGTATTCTTATAATAGCCTGACTTATTCCTCTCATTTTTGTTTAGCACTAAAAGAATAATTTAAAAAAAAACAACTCACAAACCATTAAAGCTTGCTCCTGAGTGGAACAAAATTTCTTCAGGAATAATTAATCAGAAATTGTATCCATCCATCCATTCAGTTCTTGGAGATTAGAATGCCCCCAACCCTCTTTGCCTTTCATAAGGCTTTAAAAACATGGCTGTTTTCAAGCTTGGACACTGAAGGTGTTAAAACCCCCATTTCCTGGTTTTATTTTTAACTGGTTAATTATCTAGGCTGCTGTCTATATATTTATTTTGGATGTTTTTGGATGTTATTTGGGATGTTTATAGTTTTGGAATTGTAAGTCACCTAGAGTCATTGATTGAGATGGGCAGGTATAGAAATTAAATAAAGAAATTCATGAAGCAAACAACTCCAAACAGGAAGCAATAAAGTGTTGAATTTTGAACTGATATTGTAAAATGGCTTTACTGCATGAGATTTTATGATTGGGCATATATCTTGCATGTAAAGAACGTCAATATTGCAGTACCTCACTGGGTCATTCCCAACTGCTTGCTTCATTCTCCTTTCAGTAATGGAGAAAGATTAACACTATGGCATTAATGAGCCCAATTGGGAAGCAACTTAAGTCTCTGAGTTTCAATCTGAATGGAAGTTTTCAGTAATATGTAAACTTACTGAAACTTACTAGTAGGCCTGCTGTTTTTCTATTATCAATAGAATTATTATACAAGTTATGGTAGCCTCATCCAGTGCATAGCTAATCAGAGTGTGAATTGAGCTCCATAAGGGGAGACGTACACCAAGACTTCATTGGGAGCCCACAGATAATTAAGAATTGAAAGTTCATTTTCAGGTATATTTTTCTATTAACTCCCTATTTTTTTCTTTCCCAGGAATTTCAGAAACAGCAACAAATTGCCTTGGAAAATATAGAAGTGTTAAATGCCAAAATCAAGGCATGTGTATTGGTTTTTTAAAAATAATAAGTGCAATTGAGGCATCTATTTAATAAGTAGCAGCAGTGTGGTCTATTGTAGACTTCCTTTATATATATATATATATATTAGATGTAGCTTTCCCAACATTCCACCTACTAGTTGGGGGGAAAAAGAGTTATTAGTGGGAATCATAATTTATTAAACTAATATTTGCTTTAGTATTTTGATTAGGTCCAGCAACCCTAATCAACCATTAAGCAAATCTGTGAAGAACAAGGTTAGAGGATAATTTCTAATATTGGAATATATTGGAATGTGTAACTGGAATATAAATATCAATAATGTACTGTACATGTATAGCCATAAATGGGATGTGCCATAAAATGCTCTTGCTCAGTCTGTTGGCCAAACTCTTTTTCAGGATATTTTAACTCATTTCATCCCCTCCCTCCCTCCCTCCCTCTCTCTCAAAAACAACAGCAAAACAACAATTAAAAAGTTGGCTTTTTTAGCAAGCCCGTGGAAAACCTTCACTGCTGATATTTACTCTCCCATGTTTTGGCATTTTCTTCCTTTGATATGATGGTTGAATATCATTTGTATTGTTTTTCTTTTTTCTTTTAAACTTTTGATTTCATCACCTAGAATTGCTTTGGCATTTGGGATAGATGATCAATTGATTAGATAATTTTCTGTCTTCGGCACCTTTTAAATATGGTCAATCCTTACTGGCTTTTTTTTCTTTTCTTTTTTGCAATGGAAGCTTTGCCTTCAAACAATTCTTCTATTTCTTTTAATGGAAAATATGGCAAGTTTGCTGATACGTTCTTTTTTTATATAACCTTCTGTTGACCATTAAATTATAAGTTCAGTGTAAGTATATACAAATCAAGAATTGGTTTAGTTCCTGCTACTGTTTCAAGTGACAATCTGTGAATTCCTGCACAAGGCATCTATGCAGTCTAGTTTTGAACCTTCTAGAGTATACAGAGTTGTTTCATAGGAACTCCCCTCTCCCTGCATACTAAGCCACAGGTGAAGCTCCCACAGAATGTCTTCAGTTCCTAAAACCATCATAGTGGATTTGAAGGGAATATCTGAGATCACATGAGACCAAGTGGGGCCAAGAGGATAAAATGTTGTGAAGTAACAGATTATCATCTGAACTCCATGCAAGGGAGATAAGCACTCTTTATTGTGATCTCTATGATTCATATACATGGAGAAGACCTAGCTACCTTAAAATGACCAAACAGAAGGTAGTTCTTCCAAAAGTTGGATTACTTAGGTATTGGTCCCACCTATAAGGCTTGATTGGGGGGTTAGGCTGAGCTGCCAAAAGTTCTAGTAGGGAATTCCTCTGAGGAAAGCTATCAGTATTGCCTTGTGCTATATGTGGGAACAGAAACGGGCACTGTTTTTTGGCTAAATTATATCACCACTTGAACACTGCCACTGGAGGGGAGGGAATACAACAAACTTTAGATGAGGAAGAAAAGCATGCAGAAAATCCAAAGAACAAATGAATATTTGCATGAGGGAAATCCAAAGAACAAATGAGTATTTTCATTGATGTACAAAAGATGAGAACATGATGTGAAGATACATGGGAGAGGCCCCTTTCCACTGTGCCTCTTGGCCCTCCCCACTGCCAGTCTGGGTGGATAGCGCGGACGCAGCTTCTGGTTACTGTACTGTTGCCCATTCCAATCTTCCTGGAGGGAAAAAAGCCTTGTTCAGGCTCCTCCTATTTAACCCAAGGTTAAGTGAGAGAAGGGACTGTCACAGTCTATAACCCTAATAATAATGGTTATGCTAACAATTGTGATATTAACTGTACAAATGACATGGAAACCCAACTCTGTATTACGCTCTTCTTACCATAGTAACTTTGAGGGTTTTGGGCAGAGAATAGCAATCTTGTCTCCTTTTGAGGAGACAATTAAAACATCAGTCGTGTGATTTAAAATCAGTTTTATTAAAAATAAAGTGAAACTTCCTTTTAGCCAAATGTCCAAACAATTTCAATGAGGTGGAATAAGGCATTTATTGCTGATGAAAATCCAGTGTCTCCCAGGTGAATCTCCCATGGTATCCAAGGTGCAGGTTGGATACAGATCCAGGTGGACAAGATTCAAAGTGCAAAGAATGTTAAGATGGAATGCAGCCTACAAGAACGAAGTTTCAATAAAAATGATAAATCTCTGATACAAAAACCAGAGGCATGTTTAAAGAACAATTAGACACATTCAAAATACCAAAGACTATGCAGCAGATTTTTCTTTGTTTTGTGTTGATTCCTAACTGCCTGGTTAAGTCCCTGCAGTTCTCTTGGCAGTTTTCTTGGGAAATAGTTTGCCACTGGCTCTTTTGTAAGGCTGAGAGTGAATGTCTGGTCCAAGGTTACTGAGATGGCTTTGTGCTTTAAGATGAGGCTAGAACTCATAGAGTAGATTAGCATATCTTAAAGCAGAATTATCTGAAAGTAGAACTAGTGCTGCTTTATAAAACCTTATAAGACCACATCTAGCATACTACAACCAATTTTGGTCACCATACTACAAAAAAGATGTTGAGACTTTGGAAAAAGTTCAGAGAAGAGCAACTAAGATGTAGCCCGGAGACTACACCATATGAAGAACGGCTGCAGGTTTGTGGTTTGGCTAGTCTAAAGAAAAGAAGAATTAGGGGTAACATGGTAGCAGTAATCCAGTATTTGACTATTTGCCACACAGAAGAGGGGGTCAAATTATTTTCCAAAGCACCAGAGGGCAGGACAAGAAACAATGGTTGGAAACTAATCAAAGACGGAAACCATCTGGAATTAAGGAGAAATTTCCTAACAGTGAGGACAATTAACCAGTGGAACAGCTTACCTTCAGAAATTGTGGGTGCTCCATCATTGGAAGTTTTTAAGAAGACTAGACAGTCACTTATCTGAAATGGTATAGGTCAGTGATGGCTAACCTATGACACGCGTGTCACTTGTGTTGGTGTGGGGAAAACCTGCACATTTAGAGGCTGCCTGTGCTCTGCTCCAATACCTGCTCCCTGCTTGTTGCGTGGAGGCATGGTGTCACCGCTGCCGCAAGATCTTTGCAGCAGAGAACCAGTTTTAACCGCCATAAACTGAGGTTTGTCAGTTTCATTACCTCAGGAACGCTACAGGAGGAAAGGAGATCCATGAGGTTCACAGCCCTGTAAGGTGGCCTTCCGATCCCCACATCCTGCACCTGCAGCCCTGAGACCAGGGAGATGAGTTTCACAGCCCTCTGTGATCACCCCAGCCCAGTCCGTCATAAACCAAATTATTGATATTTCTTGAAGTGACACACGACCCGAGGAAAGCTACATTTTTTCCCGATTTTCGACACACCAAGCTGAAAAGGTTAGCCATCACTGGTATAGGTTCTCCTGCTTGGGCTGGACTTCCAAGATCCCTTCCAGTTTATTCTGTTCTATTCTGTGTAGAAGCCAAGAGCTCTATTTTATCTCTAAGTGGAGGGATTTTTCCACCCAGCTTACTTCAGCTGCCTGGTCCTGATTAACTGATTTCTGCAATTGCAGCCTTCAAGCTCCTGTCCGGATCCTATTCAGCACCTTCCATTAAGACTTTTATTTTGTTCCAAGACAAAGCCTTTTTTTTCCTAGCAAGGGTGGAGCTGGGGTGAACAAATCTAGGCTTTTTTCCTTAGTCACTCTACTTGAGGATTGGACATTTGGTTTTAGCTGTGGAAATCTGAACTCGATTCCCTAACCCACTCATGCCTTTGCATGTATGCTTGGATGAATATATTAATCCATGCTTGGGAATCAGCTTCAATCTTCAAGAAGATAAATGAATGTGGGAGAGCAAAGGGCTTGCTATGCCTTGTGAAAGTGAATGGGTGTTTGCCTATTCACTGCAGACTTTAACAGAGACACAAAGGGAGAAGGCAGGGAACTTGTAATCTATCTCACATCTGTATAATCACCCTACCTTCCTCTCCTTTTCTCTCCGTCTCACTCCAATTTAAATCTTACATCAGTTTAGCCACTTTGTGCATATGATAAAGTGAAAGCTTATGCCTTTCAGTAAAAGTCGTCGGTCAGAAAAAGTGCCCAGAAAATTCCTTTGCTAGGTCTTTCATGGTTTATTGATGGATTAGAAAAAAGGAGATAACTGCAAAGCATAATTTTACTGAAGAGAAAGCTATTCCTAGGTATTTTAAATATGAGTCAAAGAGCTAAAATGTGATTGCTACCATAAAATCGAAATACTTTCCATTTAAATACATAGGAAGTCCATGACAAAGACATCTGAAAAACTAACAAAAATTGCTTCACCTTGTCTCAAATGGCTTGTAAAAATGAATTATAAGCTATAAGATCAAGATCTAAATGAAAAGCTTGTCCGTGATAGATGAAGAGTAGTAGAACAAGACTATTTGGACGGCAGAAGTATTCGTGTCAGATAAAACAAGGAATGGAATAAACCATAACTCCTAAGGTGTGGTGAAGGGTGTAATTGATCTTCACCAAGGCACTGGTAAATATGATTTTAAAAAAAAAAGATAGAGTAACCTGTTGAGATAGGAAGCTATACAATTCAATAAGTCAAATAATAATTTTAAAAAATTAGTAAGGAGCTTGAGGTCTACCCAACTATTTCAGATGAGTAAGGCTCATCTGGCCAACACATTCCTTTGTTTTCTGCATAAATAATTTCTATAAGTTTTATTTGGTTGGATAGGTAATTCAAGTTTTCAGTTCCATCAGCTCCAAGAGCTTGTGAGAACTGCAGTTCAAACATAAAACAGTAAATTGCCTAAATTCTTGCTTGAGTTAAAGAAAGGGAAGTACTGCGAGGTAATTTGCTGGAGACTATGATGCTCACTAAATCTCAATATAATTTAAAAATCATTGTAGCTTTTGGGATGAAATCTTGTGAGATTTGGGACATTTTCAATCACTCACAAGAAGAGTATTGGTATTGTCCAGAAAGATATCTCTAATAAGGGGTGCTTTATTTATTTTACTAAAAATAAAGTTGCACATTTTCATGGAATAACTGTGGAAATGTGATGCAAATGCTTGAAATTATTTTTTAAAAATGTTTTTATCCAATAAAAGACATTGGAGAATGAATTGAATGAGAAGAACGAATCTCTTAATGCTATTGCTTCATCTCTTCACAAAACAGAGTTGGAACTTCAGAAGGAGGTGAGATCTGTGACATGACTACCCTTTTGAAATTGGTCTGTTACTGGTGGTAGATGATTATTTTTTTTAAAAAGGTAGCCCTGCATTTTCTCTTATTAATCCTCCAAATAGCTCAGAATAGAGTAATTCTACATCTTCATGTATCCAGTAACATTGGCCCCTTCCCAGTGACTGGTATCCAAATATTGTCACTCTGCAATTCCAGAGTAGTTTTATTCTTGAGGATAGCAAGCCCCTTGTTTCTCCTGCTACCCTGGGGATGGGTGAATCTCCTCCCTTTTGCCTGTAACGCTGTTCCTCAAAGGCCAGAGGCATAACCATCCAATCAGCCTTGCTCACATGCTAGTTTTTCTTTACCCCTGCAAGAGAGAGCTTTCATCTGCATCAATATTCAATGTATATCCTTTTTAATTCCAATAAATCCTGTGGCTTTAGGTGAAGAGAAACACCATGTGTGGTTGTGCAGCAACAACAAAGTCAGGTCCCAAGTTCAGCCACTGCTCCACAGATTCTCTTGAAATGGGCATTAACCGTATTTTTTCTTTTCCCTATCAAACCAAACAGAAATAAACTTCGACTCTGCCTCTTAGAGACTGATTTTCTGCTCTGATAATGTGCCATTCGCTACATACATCACTGAAAATTATGAAATGTGCTCTGTTTAATGGTTGCTGTCATTGCTTTCAATTGCCCCTGGCTTTCTTTGAATCCCACTGCTATAGTCCTCATTGGTAGCCTCCCTTGCCATGGAACCTTACTTCTGCAACTCTCCTTTACTTGTTTATTACTCTGTCCCCTGAACAAGGCAGAGGCAAGAGATTGTGCAAATCACCGAGCCAATGCATTAATTCTGTGTGTTTAAGGAGAGGCAAAACATATGGGGAGAGCAGGACACGAGAATAGCTAACTAACATTAATAAGATAATGTTAGTTAGCTAAATAACACGTGGGTGAGAGCAAAAACTGTAAGATTGATCTTTGTTGAACAGAGCAAAATGGGTTGATTGTGCAATCATACCAGATTATTATTCTGAGGTACTGTTAAATGAACAGATACTGACACTGAATCTGAAGAAGAGAATGCATACTATATACAGAGCATACAAGAATGGCAGGATTAGTAGAGATGACAGCTGGAATTAAAACTGGAGATAGAACATTCATGTGAAATTTGCAGACGCCATCACTTTGTAGCCAAAAAACAAGCTCAATGAAAAGCTCATTAGGAAATAAAAATAGTTAAAATCTGGGTAGTTAAATACCAACCAAGATAAGATCAACCAGCAGTAATGCTGTAGTTTTAAGCTACAGTGATTTTGTGGAACAATCAGTTAAAATTCCATCCTTTCTTGCTTAGTGACCAAGCAAATGACTACCTCTAAAAAGAAATGGCCATAAGGTGCCTAATATTAAGTTAAAAATTCTCTAGTTCAGTGCTAATTTAAAGAGTACTCGGATACCACTGCTCTTCCAACAATAGCAACAACAACAAAAAAAGATTTCATTGATGATAGAAATATGTATGTTACTTCCCACTTTTCCAAAACCCAGTTTGTTATCTCCACCACAGAAAGCCAAAATGGCAGACATGGAGAGATCTTTCCAACAAAAAGCAGTAGCTGTTGAAGAGAAATATCGAATTAATATAGCTTCTTTGTCAGAAGAAAACAACATTTTGAGGTGGGGGAAAAATCTAGTAAAATCCAAAACAGTAAGTCTTTTGAAAAAGTTTTTTTAAGCAGTGCAGATTGACTGAGGTTTGTGAAACAAACTATAACATTTCCAATTTATTTATTTATTTATTTGAATTGTTTGCTGCCCATCTCACTATGTGGTGACTTACATATTCTTGAATTAAATTATTTGGCTTTGTGTGGGTGGGAGATGGTATATGGAGAATACCTGTGGGAGAACATCTAGGAAGATTAGATGTTCATTCTGAATACTTGCATTTTATTAGCCTGGCGAGATTATTTTGAAGCATTTTTAGCTTAGGAGTGACAAGGGCAAAGGTGTATGGAGGCATGGACAGATATCAGGAAATCTTAATGAGTTTGAAGCTGAACGTCTTCTTGTCTTTGAAAATATTTGCCATTAAAATAATCATTTAAAATGATCGTTAGAACTGTTTGAAAAAAATATACACATGCCAAAAACATGCAGTAGCATTCAGTAATAACATAACTGATTGAATAGCTAAAATTCCAGTTGCAATATTCTATGTCGGTAAGACAATTGAATTTGCTTTTGAGAAAATGAGGGAGTTGGTTGGGAGTTTCACTTGTATCAGTAACAATATTCATGATGAGATCTGATTCCATGACTGTCCGTACGAGTTAACAGCCACCCACATACACCCATTTGTCAAAAGTAAGCCCCATTGTTTCAAGAGGAATTACTCTCAGGTAATACTCCACTAAGGATTATAGCCATATCTGAGGGTGAGAGCTTTGAAAGAGCTACACTGGAATTATGCTTTTAGACTTTTCTTCCAAAATACAACGGTTCCTATATCTTCCAAGCACTTTTATCTAATCATACAGTCCCCAAACGAACTTTAAAAAAAATACTGACAAGATCGAACATGCTTTTGTAGCATGCTGGACCATATACAAAAGAAATTTTAACTTCATTGTAGAGAATCAAGCCTAAAAACTGACTTTTTGCAAAACCCAATTTGAATTCATAAATCGATTCAAGGTGCATATCTTGTGCTTTGGCACGTGGGTGCCCTTGTTACACATGGTTATAACTTTGCCAAACAAAACATTCAATACTTCTAGTTGTTTTAGCACAGAATTTCAACTAGCTTCTTGTAAATCACTTTCACTTGATTGTGCAATGAGTGACACAGCAAGTGAGTGGGGAATTGGGGGGGGATGTCACTCCCCAGTGCCAACTGCGATTCAGGGAAATGGTTTCCAACATTTGGTATACTATAGGCTCTGTAGTCTCCTTGTACAAAGGTAGAAAAAAAAAATACCTTTGCTTTTTTTCCTCCCTCAGGCACAAGCTTATTGAGAAGAATGAAGAGATATTTAATGAACGTGCCCAAAAAAGTAGTATTTTTGGATTGTTTGATTAGAACTATGCATGAAGAATTGGCTTATGGGAGATTGTGTGAAGCTATTTCTTCAGAACAGGCTGAAGCTGGAACACCAGAAGTGTCAAAGGATTACTTACATATATGTATCATTATGTTTTTTATTTTATTTTTATCAGCTACACCTAATAGTTTCGTGCCGTGTTTTCTTCCCTTACTAGCTTAGAAATAAAATAAATGTTTCTTAGCCAGATGGTGGACATGTTATAACATACATTATACCAAAAGGGCATAACTTGGTCCTGTAGATTAAAATCCATATTTAAATGACTACAAACTGTCAAATTGTAAATGTTGATG